GCGGATCCCTCAACAGGCGATGTTCATTCGTAATATATCGGATTTCGCGTGTGAGAACATTTTGCATTATGAAACATACTTTATCATAAAAAATAAAATTGTAAATGGCTTTAGATTCTCATTCTTCTTATTTCCATTAAATATTTTATACATAGAAAAAGTAATGTTATATATTAACAATATTAGATTTTTAATTGGAAATAATCTTGTTAATTTAATGATAATAATGACATTAATAATATTATTTATTTTATTAAAACAAGAGTTTGACATATTTGTTTCATCAAAGTATTTGAACAAAATTGTTAATTCAATTGAAACTGTTTAAAATTGTTTTCAAATTGTAAAAATAATATTATTGATATAATAGCAGTATACACGGAAAGGACGGTTTGTTAAAGTTTCTAAAAATTTAATTAAATACAGATCTGAAAATAATTTTGTTGGACTATCAAAATAATTAAATACAACGCTCAAACTGATTGCCAAAATCAACAAAACTTTTTACAACATACTTGAGATTCCTACGTAACTATTTTGAGTCAATCAAAATTATTTTCAGATCTATATTTAGCTAAAGTTTTAAATAATTCAGCAAAATCGTTCTTTCCATGTATTGAGTAAACTACACTACATAAACAAGAATATATACTAATACAATAAAAACATATATTCATCTCTCATACATAATAAATCAAATTCAAATCAATAATAAATCAGATAAAACCAAAACTATCATCTATCACTAAATAATTAAAACTTCAAGCGGCTTTCATCGCACATTAATTTCTCGTCTTAAGGCACCGCGTTCATCGGATCCGCCACTGAATGGAGAAAAGACAAGGAGGTGGAGGAGGGACGGGGGGAGGAGGACGTGAAGGGCACGGAGAAGAACGGCCGTGTGGATGACGGTGGGCGATCCACGTCGGCGATATCCCATCATCCCGTCAAATGACCGCCTCCCGTGTTTCTGCGTCTCTACGGCCCCTGCATTTCCGCTCGCACGTGCCGGATCGACGAGGGGATCCTCGGCTCCGGTTCTTGGCCCGGGAGTACCTCCGAGTACTCCCTGTATCTCGCGGTTGTCATTACCGATCAAGACGAAGGAACGTGCGCGCAAGAAAAAAGATCGATCGATCTAATACGTTCAAGCGACAATTACAGATATAGATTTGAGTTTCACGATTTGGATACTTGAGATAAAAAAAAAAAATTAAAGCTTCCTCGAGAGGCCAACAACATTCTTGATATGGATATTTAAAATATAGAAATCGAAAATAGAATATCAAATTCAATCTCGCGATTGATTTCTGAACGACATGAGAAAAATTTTCTCAGCATCAATATATATTATTGAGATTTTCGGTACACACGTATTTCAGCTTCGCATAAATTAACTGATAATAAGTGAATATATAAACAGAGTATTCTTTTTAATCTTGTAAAAAAATTCCTAAAAATTCCAAGTTTTCTAGATATTTTCGTTCAAAATTCTAAGTAAACAATTTTTAAAAAAGAGAGAGAATATAAAAATAAAATTCCCAAAATTCCCCCAAATACTGATAAAAAAAATGTATTTCCGCATTTTATACATGATGTATAATGCATTATTTTATTCTTAGTGTTCATCGATTAATTGGAAATGCTTGATATATAATATTTCAAGGATAGAAAAGAAATTTCCTGAAACTAAGTTTTCAGATTTCTCTAGGTAGTATAAATTATCCTGTACTGTATGTTCAGATTTTCATCAGAGTCATATAATCTGTTATTTATATTCCTGTTAGACTGTAAAATTTTCAGGTCTAGAAATCTGTTCAGAATAAATTCTAATAATTGGAATAATTTTTCCTATATAAAAAATCAAAACACAATAGAAATCTAGAAAATAATTAAATAATTCGATCGGAATCCATTCCGAATAATTCCATAATACATACTCAGATATCCCAAGCAGAACAACAAGTCATTATGATATCAAAATGATGTCAAAATGACTCTAAAACGATCATTAAAAGTCATTTTTCGATCATTTTCGATTCATTTTGACATCATTTTGATTGACATTATCGTGACTTGTTTTGCTTTGCGTTTTATTCTTATTGTTTACTGAATGTTAAATAAAAAAAACTGATATCTGGGGATAAGAGTCTAAACACACTCCTGCTTGAATATCAATAAAATTTCATGAAAATCCCTGATTTTCAAAGGAAAAATCGTAAAAATTCTATATTTATTTTATTATTAAATTTTAAGTTCTATATTTTCTAGATTTTTCCAAGTAGTAAGAATCTTGATAAATTCAATTTACTCACCAGTCGATGATGCTCCCTTTTTTCCTCGGTCGTCATGTTCTCATCCGCTGCTCCATCGCTCCGGAAGCTCGTTTGCAGAGATGCAGACTCCTCGAGGCGGCACCACCAACCGCGATTGCACAAACACGCACAAAATAATCGCCCGTCATTTTATACGGCACTCCCGACGTTTTATCGCGCGCACGATCAACAACGGATTGTTCACGCGATTGGCACAATAAACGCGATATCGCGATCTCTGTATCAGCTTCTTCTTTTTTATGGCACTTATTATCAGTCTCCCAACTAAGATCGATCAGTAACGGTCGAATATGGTCAAAAAGTACTTAAACTAAACACAAAAGTCGGTTAGTTTCGTCAAACTTTCAAAAATTTTTAGTCCGCACTTGCCGGCTCTTCCAATACAATTATCCGTGTACTTACGCATATCATCTTATCAAATTGCGTCCCAAAGTTTCAAAATTCACACTTCAAACGAACAAATAATCCACGAAACATCGCGATCGTCAATTACTGTTAGTGCAGCGTTCGCGAGAATCCGCATGAAGTTGCTGCGACGCGTCCCGAAAAGTTCCAATGACGCGTTGCCAACTTCGCACAACGCGTGACGTCATCATGATAACATCAACGGTTGCTATTTAAAATACTTCGATTCATCCAAGAGTTGCCTTTATGCTTTGAAACACACTTTCGCAATACAACTTATTAGTTAATTAAATGATGCGAAACGAAATGTGCTGTAATAAATATGTAAAATGTTCAAATGCTGCATAAGCGAATTTACATTGGCCGAGCGGCAATAATACTCCGATTGCTAAAAACCGATTAAAGATTAATTGCAATTGTACATACTTAATGCATTATCTGATATTCTACAAAGCTTACCCATCATATAATTTACCACTCTTGACGCTCGTTTATACGCGGGACTTGCTCTCGATGGAGAGAAATGTCCCGAAAACGTAATCAGAATCACACCTTCTTGCGAGGACAATGGCCGCGCCGTGACTACGCGAATCAAATGAAACATAGACGCGCGATAAGTCTGAAAAATTAAAGGGTGCTTTCTAATTAAAAATAGATACAGGTAACACACCGTAAAGCTTTATATTTTTCTGATGTCTTGTTTTAAATACAATACTAATCATAGACCAATTAGAGGGATACATAATCGATTCTTATATATTTAAGACTATCTTACCTTAGAAGAACAAGAAAATCAAAATAATATTAATTTGACGTCATATTGATCGAATTTATGTCATTTTTTGAATGATTTTATATATAAAGTTATTCACCTGAGATCAAGTTTTTATCATGACCGAAAAATAAATTCGGTCAATATGACATTATTTTGATTTCTTTTCTTGTTCTTCTTAGGATAAGTACAGTAAGAGACATCATGGATCGTAACAATCAGAGAGCCGTAATAGTATTTTAAGACATTATTTAAGACAATCTTAAAATAAGAACGGCTGCTGAATACTGAATTAGCATCTTAAGACAATTTGCTTAAGACATTTTTTGCTTAAGACGATTTTAAAATAAGAATCGAATTACTATGAATACATGCTTAATACGAGAGTCTATCCAAATAAATTTGCATAGCCACATAAACGCATGCATAAAGAAAATTAGCCAATCGCATTTGACGTGCGTCTTATAATAGAAATTACTGGAATAATTTTTTTATGTATGAATTTATAGTTATGCAAATAACTATAAATTTGTCTGAATAAACTCTAACACTGCAAAATGAAAATTTCATTTTTGTTCGACATGTTTTTCTGCTGAATTGTGTGTGCTTTTATTTTAGCAAATTACTTAAAATTCTGCATTCTTAAAATTGCTTGATTCGATTTCTTTAATAATATTTCATCTCGATGAAAAAAATGTATGCGTATATGAAAAATTATTATACGATCAGGCACGAATTTTGAAAATGGCCACGACTATGTGAGTCAAGCAGAATATACCTGCCTGTTGAATTGAAAATAATAATTATAGTCTACATTGTCGCGAATCATCGATAAATATGACTAATAAGATACGCCAAATATACCGTCACATATTTTAACATGCAATTAATATCAAAATAATAATTGCGCCGGTATATTAATGCATACTTCTAATATTTAATATCTGACATGCTATTCTAATCTAGAGTATTTCCTCGAATGTGACTAATTAAAAAAATCTCATAAAAATTTTATATAGAAAATTGGATATTCGAATTTGATATAGCGAATAATTAATGTCTTTCGTCGAATATCTAATATCAAATTTTCTGGATGCAATATTTTCTGAATAAACTATAACGTTTCTCAAAATTAATATTCATAAAAGAATATTGGCAACATATATAAAATTCTAAATATACGGGATATGTATTCATATTTATTGAAGGTGTAATATTCCCATCATATTCATAAATTTATCTTAATTTTATTTAACTCACACAATTATTAGTCCGTTTATCGTGAAATGTACCAGAATTTTAACTTAGTAATTAACGAGTCTTATAAATATTATCTGTAATTTTCAATATTGATCTAAACGCAATCTCTTGTAGAATAATTCTGGGGATAGTATCAGTAACTACTTTTAATAAAGGGGATAAAGATAATACAAGATGCACTAATCCAAGAGAATCAGATACCTTAATGAATAAAAAACAAACGGACGTCATATACATGGTATAAATATATTTATGCGAATATTTCGTTACATGATCGTGTCTATATATTAGGACACATTATAGTGCTAATAAATGCTGTTACCTTTAACTGAATCCATAGTGTAAAAGTTGATTAATCCTTTTTGATAAAATGCTTTTTCTCCCAACAACCCCTGCATTCGATGTTCACATATCGAATTCATTGCAACGAGCATCATGTTAATAGTACTAACGATATGCGAAAATTCAGACAGTTACAAAAAATCAGCCGGTCGCATACTGCTGGATATGAATCGCTTATAAATTCGTTGCATGTAACATTATATGATAATTGAAAGAAATCGTGTATACAATCCTAATGGGAATCTTAAATATTGTTTACGTTGTCCAAAATCGGTACAGCGTGCCATTGTTTTACTCCCCAAATATCTTATTCTCCCCCATCTGCAGGCAATTCTTTTCTTCCTTCTTCCTTCATATGATTATTTAAGCAATCTTAAAGCTTTCCATCATGTACTAAACGCATTCAGTACAGTTACTGAAAGGGAGGCTAACATTGGTGTTTAGAAGCTCTTTAATTCTGATTTATTAAATGGTTGTAAAGTTACTGAAAATACTTTGCTATATAGGAAAACAGCTTTCAAAGATGTACAAAAAAATTGGTCGATTTTTCTCGAAAGCTTTCCCTCTTCAAGATAGCTGCCGTGTATAATTTAAAAGATGTGATCGAAGATTTATTATTAATATTATTGATATTAGAGAATTTTTGCGATAATACTTTAAAAAGGGCAAATGATAAAATTACTCATTATAGTAACTTCCATTTTGAAATTATACTAATATCCAAATAAGTTTGCAGTGCGCGATAAGAGCCTCCAATATCAATAAAGATATTTTATAATAAGATAGGTTGTTAGAATTAGTAGTAGTCTTTTTGTGTCACATATAATTGATAATATATCTAGTGATACTGCTATGATACTTATCATTTTATACATTCACCATAGAGCTCCTAATACTGACGTCGCCAAGAACGGAAATTTCATTCTAATACATATTGAAACAATCATCGTTTTAGCGAAAGATATTTAAACACTCCTATTACTCAAATGAGTACTCTATCAGATATCAATGCGACTCAGATACCTCATCTCGGTAAATGTTTCGACTTAAAAAAATATTGTTGAATAGCACCAATCTTTATTTGTTTCTCCATATCTCCGTTCCTATTAAGTGTAAAGTCAACGAGTTTAGAACGAGATTTCAAGATTTATTTGAAAATTCCCGGCGTCTTCCAAATCGCCTCTTTCTCGAAAGTCGTATTGGAAAAATGAAAGCTTTGTGCAATAACTTTCCTCGAAAAAACAATCGTTATTATTTGATAGAAAAGTTTTATCCGGCTTTATAAACTCAGAGTCATTATCGCCTCAATGTCTCGTGGAATGTATTTGCAGTCGACTGCACTATTTGCTTATCCTTTTCGAATACGATTACGAACTCGTAGAGAGGCAAATTTAGTTCTATTTAATATAGAGTATACTACACACAAGATCGTCGCCTGGTACTACAATGTCGTTTTGAAATCGGGCATGAATTCCATCGATGGCAATATTTTGTCACCTTACAGAAGTATACACTTCCTCTTCTTCACTGGCTCGGGTGGTTCCAATGCAGCTAAAATAGCTTCGTCGAATACATTCTTCAATCCTTTCTGATATAGCAAAGAAATCACAATTTCATTTATTACGATATTATTATTTAAAAATAATATAATAAAAAAGTATAATTATTTTATTTTACTCACAATCAGTATAGTTACTAATAAGTTTATCACAGATTTAATTAAAATAATAGTTTAACATCTTCTGTATTATAAAAAATTTTGTAAATATGTCAATCAATATTTTACAGATAAGGCCTATAATGAAAACAAAATGACCGATTTTCGTTTACCTGCGTCAGAGCACTGCACTCTACATATTTTACAGCCTTGAGTTCCTTAGCAAGTTTTTCCCCCTGTTCGCCAGATATTGGCTTCTGTTTGTTCTTTGCAAGTTTCTCTGTTGTTGCGACATCATCTCTTAAATCAATTTGAGTTCCGACAAGTAAAAATGGAGTTCTCTGACAATGATGCGTTATTTCTGGTACCCACTATAAAACGACATGTTATTACAAAAGAATTTTAATTGACGCTCAGGAACGTAATGGACAGATACATTACCTTTTCTTTTACATTTTCGAATGATGACGGTGACACAACCGAGAAGCATACGAGAAACACGTCAGTCTGAGGATAGCTTAAAGGACGCAATCTATCATAATCTTCCTGACCTAAAAAACACAAAAAACACAAAAAGTAAAATTAAGTTAGGAAATATGTATAATGAATTGCTCCTTTAAAAAATAATTCAAGGAAGAATGTTTTACCTGCTGTATCAAATAATCCTAATGTATATGGATCACCTCCTATCATCACAGTTACTGCATAATTGTCAAAAACAGTAGGCACATATTCAGAAGGAAACTTGTTTGTAGTATACGAAATCAAGAGACACGTTTTACCAACTGCTCCATCGCCTACCACAACACACTTTATCGTTTGCATTTTTGGTGTTTCTTATGTGACCTAAAACACGATAGCCATAATATGTAAAACCAGTGGCACACGATATATTTTTTCTTGCTGGATTACTTGCGTTTTAATAAATTACTAAATTGCATCACATAGGACCGTATTCAAATTTTCATCCGAGCATTACATTCTTAGCTTAGGTATCATGTCATTCTTAGTTATCATTCTTGTTTTCCAGCAAAAAACACAAATAATATTGTACTTAGTGAAGTATAACATAGTGAATCATTACATCCTTGTTATTTGATGTTAAATAAAAATGAAATGATTACTTTGTTAGACTGTGTTTCTTGCTGGAAAGTTGTTGAACTATTTATTGTGGAAACCATTTGTTTAAAGGGGCACAGACCATTGCGTAACGTATAATGCATAAAAGATCCATTTACTTTGACTCTGGAGCCAAAATGCAACTATCGATACAAAAAAATAAATATAGATAAGATTTCAAGAACTGTAAAGTGTTGATAAGCGTCGCTGAAATACATATAAATATTTTACAGTACCTGAAATCTTATCCATATTGATTTTTTTTGATGATGGCTTCGTATTTTGGCTCAGGAACTAAAATTGGATAGGCCTGGTATAAAGATAGAGAATCAAGCAATCAGAGTTTTTCATGGAAAAAAACTTTGATTAGTCAATTCTCTTAAACTTTATGCATTATATATTATGCAAAGATCTATGCTCCAGCAGCTGTAACATTTGGAGCTCCAGCTCCTGTAACATTTGGTAAACAATAAAAATAAAATGATATCTAGAAGAAAATTGATAAGAATCAAAACATAGCTCTAGACGCATAATTTCTAATAATTTACTAAAATGCAAGCAATCAAGCAAGAAAATATACAGCAGCTTCATTAAAACTCACAACATCCAAAGAATGATCAACAGTGATTAAAAACCCATCCAACATTCATATAAAAGTTAAGCATATATCCTAATCAATTAAAATAAAGAAATTCAACTCGACAAGCATCCAGTTTATACCAGATCGTTCAATTAAGCAACTTCTATTTTCTTCGTAATATCTCGCATATTTTTTTATCAATAATACAAGTGTGTAATCTACATACATTAATATATCGTACAATTTCTTATCAACAATATACGCGTCCATAATCTATACATAATAGTAAAAGTAATAAAAGCATAATAAAAATATTCGGCGAAAAATCATTGTGTAACAATATTAACAACCAAATCATGCAATAAATCATCTTAGCATAGAAGCCCTTTGTGACCGATGTATTCCACCCTAAACCTAACCTAACCTAACCGTAGATGTGCATCTACAGCGGAGGCTATGTAACGTCGAGACTTTCGCAACGAGATGCAACGCGACTCGAGCCTCATATATACACAAATTCTCAGATACAATAAAGTACGTTACCTGAATATGCGAAACTGTCATTAAAGGTTAAGACTGCCACAGCTCATAATCCCAGATAGCACGGTAGATGCGGCTTCAAGCGTGCCGGTAACGAATACGATGTATTTCAAGGAGTCTTACTTGATGGCCGCAAGCTTGCGAAATCGTTGCACAAATTACACTTCAACTCCACGCGCCTCTATCTTGCCATGTATATTATTTTTCTCCTTGTCGACAATCTCAATTTTTTAGAGACTCTTTAGCCTCGATTAAAGCCGGATCTCCATCAATCTGCATGCAACTGGCTACCAGGATTACGTTCTAAAATGTAACCACAGTTACCAAAGCTCTATAGTTTACGTGACGTCAACTGTAGAGTTTTAATTACTATAGTTAGATTTTGGAACGCACCTCAGAGAGAGAAACTTGAGAGAGGACATGAGAGTCTTTTTCCTGTAACCGTAAAGTGCTCCCGCGCACTACTGTCCTCTCGAAGAAGTGGATGTAGACTACATAACAATATTTATTTTTTCCCAACACACATTTTGTATTCTGGATTAATTTTCATCACTTTTACGAGTATATAAAAATTATTAAATGATGATTTTTATGCATATTTTAACATCTTTAGAAAATATTTGTAAAATTGTATATTATTTCAAATTGTATATAAATTTAATAAATTGTTATAATTAAATATAATTAACAAAATGAGAAAAATGCACTTTTTCATATAAAAATTCTGAAACAGAACGAATTGAAGCAACGCACAAAACTTGTTCTCTAGATACTAAACTTTTTTTAGAAAAGAGTATTTGACCAAGTGCTCTTAATATTACAAAGAAAAGAAATGCGCAGGACATGAATGGCCCAAAGGTACGTGTGTATTACGGATTAAAATAAATTTTTTCTGACTTTCTTATTAAATATTTTATGTAAGTTTTTGGAATCTGAAGTGCGATGATTCGTATTATATATTTATTGCGATTATATTTAAAAAAAATGTGAAGAAGAGAAGCACGCGGCACAGCAATCTATCCGAACGAGCCTCAAGAACAGAAGACTGACTGCGCAGTACGCGATAACTACGCATAAACGTGACGCGCTGCTCCGTGCCACCCCGTACCATCCCCTCCACAAGGTCACGCGCCAACTGTCTAACTTTCGAAATAATAACGAAATTACGAATAAGTAAAATAATATATATTTTATATTTTTTATGTTTTTCGATCAATAGGTTTTATTGCACGGTATTTGCTTTATTTCTTAGATTCTTCGTACATTCACGCAATTCATGAATATCTTAGTTTAATATTCTTCGATGAATATTACACAATTTTCATTTTATTGTTATATTTTTTAGATCGTTACGCACACAACTCATCTATATCTTAAGCCCGTAGTCAGAACTTATATTCAAGTCTATCTTAAGTACAATCTTAAAAAGTCACGAATTAGAGGACCGTATTAACGTTTTAAAACATTATTTAAGACAGGCTTGAAATAAGAATGGACTATGAATACCGCCCTTATAGATATATCTCTAATTTATATTTCTAAATATATAATATAAACGTTATTTATATCCATTATTATATTCAATCGAAATTGTATTATAATTTAAAAAATATTTGCATTTCTCTTTATTTAAAGAATGTATAATTTATAATTAATTTTTATTTAAATTTAAATCATTAAAGGAAGCAATAAAGATATAATCTTTAGCACGCACCTTAGTTTTGAGCAACATTAGTTGAGCATCCTTATATAATTCATCAATCCCTGCTTGAGGATCTAATTTTCGTGGATTAATGCAGATTAATACACGACGCCCGGAGCGACTCGTACCACACGTCCGTCTCCGTCCAAGGTCGCCGAGCGAATGCCGAAATGATGACGTAGTCAACCACTACGCCGCGCGGCACACTCCCCCTCGCCTCTCGCTTTTCGCCGCGCGACCCTTCCCCTAGCTTTTCGTCGGACCTTGTTTACATATTCATTCTATTGCGTTTAAAAAATATTCACGGTTTATTCAATTATTCGTATTTTACATTTTGATGAACGGGTATCGTCATACATTTCGTGCTTTGTTTTGTGGCATCTCTAGCACTTGTTCAATTATTTTTTGCGCGATCTTGTAAACGTAATCAGTAATTGTTCACGTGGAAATTTTTGATATTTCAACGTTATGTCTTAATTTTTATTATTCTTTTAAATGATTCATACTTAAATAAAGGTTGATAATATTCTATACATTCTTTATATAAAGATAAATGCAAATTTTCTTAATATTGAGAAACAATTTGCGCTAAATGCAGCTTTGGCTAAAATTATTAAATATCTTGTTAATCATTATTTAATTTTTCAAAAAATTAATTTATTATATTATTATTGTTATAAATTATTCTGTATTTCAAAAATTCTTTAAACTTACATGTAATGCCGATTATGACTCGGGAAAATAACTGTCATGACTTATTTAAAATAAAAAATATATTATATTTAAATAAATAAATTATTTAAAT